GATGCTGTCAGGACTGGCACCTGCAGAGGGTGGCGAGCTGAGGGTCCAGAATGTAGGTGGATGGGTCTGTGGGCCGGGACCCTACAGACTGGCTCAGGGTAACGCAGCAGGGCAGGTCTTTAACCCTGCACGGAACAATTACTGGAAGCAGCTGCCTCCACAAAGGGGGTGGTAATTTGTTGCAGCAGCTGCCTTTGAAAGAGGCTAAGTCCTGGGAGGTGAGCTGTCAGCACCCACACTCCCAGCAGCTGGGGGAGCGAGCACCTTGGTTGTGCAGGTGGGTCTGCACCAGGCATTGCAGCATTCGTTACACCTGTGAAATCTCACCCAAACCCCTGTCAGTGGATGCAGAGCCAAGTCCTGCAAACACCAACACCTGACACCTCCCACCCCTAACACCTGACACCATGTGGCCACACCCATGAGGAATGTGCTCCAGGCACCCCATCTCTTGGCCTGACACACTCCTGGTTTCCTTACTGTGTTTCCTTTTTGCCCACCTGATACCTGAATTCCTTCCAGGTTCCCTTATTTTCCAGGCTTTTTGCTACCTGCCTCAAAAGAGCTCTCCTGTCTAACACTCGATCTCCCCTCCTTACTTGGGAGTGCACTTTGACTCTGTAAGACATAGTACGATGATTACTGCCACTCAAAATCGGTCTAAAATGAGGGCATTAGTTAGTGTAGGCCAGACTAAGCTGTAGTAACAAATACACCCTAGAATTTCAATAGCTCAACCCCTGGGACTTCACGTTCCCTGGTAATTCTCCTAGCAAGAGGCAACTCACAGATCTGGGCAGATGACATTTTGTGATCTCCAGAGGTGGCTCTCTAATCACTATGGGAGGGGTGGGCAAGTTAGAGGTCTCAGAATTCTTTGAAGTGACACCCCTGCCCACAGCCTATTGAACAAAATGGGTCTTATGTGCCCACCTCACTGCAAGGGGGCTTGGAAATGTGGAGAAACACACGGATATTTAGTGAGCCTTAAATGTCTGCCCACAATTAAGTCCACCTAATGTTGAGCATAATTTAATCATTTCTTCAGAATTGAAAAAGGCTGTTTAAATTCTGTTGAGCCACAAGGGCCATATTCTATTGATCACTATAGAAAAACAGTGTAATAAAATGTCAAAAGAACCCTGAATCTGCCAAGAACCTTGAGTAATAGCACCATTTACACCACTAGCTAGCGGTGATCTTGGAATTGTCAAAGGCCACTTTAAAAGCCCGCTGTTCCTATACGTGCGATGAAAGGATTAGACTCGACCTTCTCTCTGGTCTAAATGTCTGTTTAGAATCCATGGCATTTGGGTCTGAGCCAGAAAGAAGTACCAGTTAGCGAGAGCTGTAGAAGGCGCGAGTGATTGACTTCATTTGACAAATACTTATTGAATGTCCACAACTTGTCCCTTCTGGGCCCAATGTGGTGGTGAACAGGGCAGAAAATGTCTCTACCTTCTGGAAAAGGTGCCAAGAAAACTAGTCTTCCTTTGTTTTTGGCATAGCAGCCGTCTTCAGGATTGTTAATCTTCAGAATAAAACTGCCAGTTATTTTACCTGCAAAAAATGAGTTTATTCAGGAAGAGCAGAGAATTGCGATCTGGGACGAGCAAGCTATGGCAAAAACCATGGGCGACTCCACCGAACAAAGGAGAGGAAGGCTCTCTGATGAAGGAAACCGGGAGGTTTGGAAGGTTGTTATACATAAAGGCCAACAAAGTAAAGTAAGAGCTGGGAGTGTGGTGGCTCCTCCTTGGCCGGGATGTGACCGCTTCTGGCCGGCTGGGCTGTTCCCCTGGGGAGGAGAGCCTTCCTTCCTCCCTGCCTGCAGTAGGTAGCATCCACCTGCAACCACCCACTTCCCCCACCACCCCTGGATTTGTGATTGACCAGGAGTGAAAGGGCCTGAGAGCTCGGGGAGGTGTCCCCTTACCAATTTTCGCACTATCGTTTATTTTTACCACTTCCGTAGATGGCATTTTAATTTTTGTTACAGCGCTTACTCTCTACGTTGCAGTCATACATGGGCACCCTTCAGGTGCTCGTGTCAACCTGCTGGAGCTGCCGACACAAAACACCAGGGACCGAATGCCTCCGACAACAGAAGTGTGTCATCTCACAACTCAGGATGCCAGAAGTCCGAGATTAAGAGGTCGGCAGGGTTGGCTGGTTCCTTGTGAGGCTGGGAGGGAGACGCTTCCCCAGCCTTCTCCTAGCTTCTGGTGCTCAGCTGGCCGTCTCTGGCGAGACTCAGAGCGTTTCCACACATCACCTAACCTCTCCCTTCACGTTCACATAGCGTCCTCCTTATGTGTGTTCAAACTAACTCGTTATATAAGGACACCAGTCGCATCGGATGAGGCCTCGCTCTACTCCAAGATGACTCGATCTGAACTAATGACATCTGCCACGACCCTACTTCCATAGAAGGTCATGCCATGAGGTAGTGGTGCTAAGAACCACATTATAAGAATTCAGGGGCTTCCAAGCCAATCCAGAATGGTGCTGTTAGGTGGCAGCTGGGATGCATTTTTCTCTCCACTTGTACTTTCTTTCTAGAAGTTTTGTTTTTCTTCCTCAAGCGATTATTCTTGTTGTTTTGACCACATATTTTATGTGATGGTAATGTAAGTTTGCTGTTTTGCATCTTCTCTCTGCCTAGGAAAATAGCTGGAGCCTTGCATTTTTTTCTGGCTCCAAGGGAGTCTGCAGAGCCCAAGGCAGAGCTGCTTGAGGACAATCCCTCTGCATCCTGTCTTATGCGGGACATTCCATGCACGGATGGGATTATTTGGGATGTGTGGGCTGGGAAAGAGAGAGGAGGCCTTTGAGAGGCAGGAGGCAGGAGGCAGGAGTGCAGACCAGGGGAGCTTTCCCAAGAAGCCCTGAGAGTGCCAGGGACTTGGCATAGCCCCGTCCCTCTTAGGCCACCTGGGCCACCTGGGGAGGCTGAGCCTGTGGAACAAGAAACTGTGGCCAGCTTTGCCCCAAAGGGCTAGTATGTCTTGGAGGAGACTCTCAGTGGACCTGGCCACATGCTGAGGATGAATGTGGGTTACATCCCACATTCCCAGAACCATGGAATCCTCCTGATTCTTGTGTATCCCAGCCAAGAGAGTCAGAACAATAACTGGCATTTAGTGGCCAGCCACGCTCTGAAAACAAGGAATTGCATCTAAATTGATTTTAAAAATTAAAGAAATGGTGAATTTTCTGTCCTTAGAGAATGTGTGACTACAAATTCATACAAACTGTCTAAAATATTTTTATTTTAAGCTATGCGTGTGAATCTTGAGCTTCCCTCAGTTCTGTGTCTAGAGGAGAAACTCGAGGATGGAATCCCGTTTCTCCAGCCTCTGGACCACGTACAGTGGCAGCCTGTTTCCTGTCTGACGCAGAATCTTGCCTATTGTAGGTAATCAGAATGGCCCTTGTTCGGTGAGTGAATGATGAGTCACAGACATTTAGGAACAATGGTGTCTTCTAAAATAGGCTTGACAAAAAAAAAAAAAAAAAAAAAAAGGCTTGACATGACAGACCTTTGGGGCAGTTGGCCCCAAGTCATGACCTGTGAAGGCACTGGGCTGATGAGTGGACATGACCTTGAGAGACACAGACAGCGTATCACTGGAGAGAACCAGGATGGTTGCTCCAAGGCAGAGCTCAGAGTAGATGATTTCACTCTTTATTTATTGAGTACTTAGCATGCCCAAGGACCTATGGAGGAAAACATAGAAAAATGACTTCATCACTGCTCTACAGAATCTTAAGATCTAACAACCAGACAGTAAATATCCCAAGCAGGAAGTGTGACCGATGCCACGATCAACACAGAAACAAGCTAAATCATACACAAGGTCAGAGATCTGGGGATAGGGGAAGAGGGGATTGACTGAGAGGACTTTATAGAAAACTGTTGTATTTGAGATGCATTGTATGCAAATTACATTATCCACGATGGGATGATGTCCTTAACAAAGACAGCAGCGTGGGAATGAAGCCACACACAGGTCACTATATAAGCGCATTGAGGTCTCAGTTACACACTTGGCTGAGAGCATGGTTCTGCTCCTCAGCACTCCCCCTGCCAGCCCCAGATGCTCCTTCCCAGCTCCTCTGACATGATTTCTATGTCCCTGTTTGCAGTAGAAATGGTACCCAGCATGGACCCATCCAGCATGGAATACACGGGCTCACTTCCATTCCTGGTAGATTTGCAGACATCCATCCATCTGTCCATTCATCCATAAATCCTGTCACAATGGGTCCTGCCTGGTACCATGACCAGAGTCCAGAAGTGAGGGTGCCTGTGTGTGTGTGAATACATGTCCTGTGAGGCTCCCACCCCTAGGTAGAAGCACTCTCATCTCCTGTTGAGAGGTTAGAGTAACCAAGTATTAGGATTCTTCTCACTGTGATTTTCTCTTGAATATCAAGGACATTTCTTTGAAGAATTTGACAGACCTCCAAAGTCAGATGCCCATTCATATCTTCGAGGAGGAGAAATACTTACCAGAATGACTTTTCAGTGTAGATGAGACAGATGCATGCTTTTAAAAAAGATGCATAGGTAGCAGGGGAAGATAAATCATACACAACCTCGCGGTCGTTGAGAACCTTGTATAATTGTCTGAAGGAAATAGGAGAGGTAACAGCGAAGGGCTATGGGGTCCTTATAGTCTGGTGGACCCGTGTTGGTGATGGCGCATTGTTCATGCGACCTGTTCAGTCCCTCCCAAGATCATTATGACACACACACTACTATCATGGCATTTTCCAGCTAAAACACATGGAAGGCCAAAGAAGTTAAGCAACTCCCTTGAGCACACGGGGTCGGAAGGTGAAGGCATTAGAATTCAGAGCCCACAGAGGAGGGACGGCTGTTACGGAGGGAAGCCCCTACGGCTGGGGCTGGTTTTCTCATAATCGTGGAGAAAAGAGTGTATGCATCGGAGGAGGCATTGTTTCCTGCACACCAACAAGTTTTGCTCAGCTATGCATGCCTGACAGGCATATTATTTAACACTTGGCGAACTTCTAGCTACTAAAGGGAGTGGCGAAAAGAAAATCTTGCAGGAATCCTGTCTTCTACGGTTTCGGACGGCGAGGAGCCAGAAACCCTAAGACTAGGAGGTGGATCGCGGTGCCTGGATCTCGGGTATCCTGACGCCGTCCAGGTGGGCTCTCCATCCGTCCATCCGCATGCGTCCATGCGTCCATGCATCCATCCAAGCCACCAGGTAGGGGGATGGAAGGACGTTTCCGCGACGCGCTGGCGTCTTGACAGCCGGGTCCGGAGGCCGCAGGGACCGGGCATCGCTGCCGCGGCTCGGGGCTGGTCTGGGGCGGCCCGGGCTGCTCAGCCCCGCGCTCTCCGGGCCGGGCTCCGAGGGAGGCGCCCGCTCCGCTCCCCTCCCCTCCTCTCCCGGGAAGGACCCCGCGGGCAGAGGCGCCCTCCCCGGAGGGCGGGGGGCGGGGGGCGGGGGCCGGGCGCGCGGCGGGCGGAGGGCGGCAGGGGGCGCTGCGCGGCGGGCGGGCGGGGGCGGGGCGGGGCGGGGGCGGGGGCCGGGCCGGGCCTGGGCGCCCGCGTCTTTGTGCCGCTCGCCGCCGCCCACTCTGCCCCCGCCCGCGGTGCGCCCCGCTGGAGGGCGGGCAGGGCATAAAGGGCGGCTCCGGCGGGCGCGGGCCGGGCACCCGACAGGCACCCCGCAGCCGCGCCGGACGCCCCGGACACCCGGCCTGGGCGCGGCGCTCGGAGCCGAGCCCCGAGCCCCCGAGCCCCGGGGCCCCCGCCGCGCGGGACCAGGCAGGTGGGTGACGCGCGTCGCTTTGTGTCGGCATCGCGGGCGCGGGGCGGGGGCGGGGGCGGGGGCGGGGGATGCGGCGGGGACGCGCGGGCCCGGCCCGGCGGGGGGGGGGCTGGGGATGCGGCGGCGCGGCCCGGGGTCCGGGGCGCAGGGGTCGCGGCGAGGGCGCGCGGGCCCGGCCTGGGGGACCTGGGGGGGGCGAGGGCGCGCGGGCTGCCGGCCGGGGTCCCGGGGGGAGCACCCTGGGCCCGCCCCGCCTGCCCCTCGGCCGCCCCAGCGCCGCGGCCACTTGGGAAGCTCGGGGTCCCCCGCCCCCCGGCCCGGCCCGCTCCGCCGCGCCCTGGCTCCCTGGCTCCCTGGCACCGGGCGGGGACCTCTCTCCGGGGGGGGCTCCGCAGGCCGCGGGAAGGCAGGTCGGCCCGGCGGGGCGGGGGCGGGGGGCGTCCTCCGCGTGCGCATCCCCGCGGCCCTCCTCGGAGCCCGCCCCTCCTGGGGGTCTCGGCTGCTCCCCCCTCCCCACCCCCCCGGCGGGGTCTCCCCGGCCCCCCGGCGCCTTCCAGGCGCGGCTCGGGGCTGGGGGAGGGGCTCCCCGTGGTCCCTCATCACCCCGCAGTCAGGTCTGGGTGGTCACTTCAAAAGTTCTCTCTGTGCCTTTCTTTCCAGTAAATGTGATAAAAACATGTCCAAGAAATCCCCTGGCTTGCCGCGTGCCAGGCGGAAGTCGGCTCCACGGAAGGGGGCAGGACGGAGCCCCAGGAGCGCGCGGGGCGGGTGCTGCTGCGCGGGGCGGGTGCTGCTGCGCGGGGCGGGTGCTGCTGCGCGGGGCGCGGCGGGGGCGGTGCCGCCCTGGGAGGGCCTGGCCTGGGCTGGGCCTGGGCTGGCTGGGGCTGGGCCTGGGGCTGGGGCTGGGGCTGGGCTGGGGCTGGGCCTGGGCTGGGCCTGGGCCCCGCAAGGACACGTGGTGGTGAACCGGGCGGTGTTGGGGCGGGGAGCCGCGTCCTGAGGTCAGGGGCGGGGCGCGGGGTGAGCCCCCTGGAGGGAGGGGAGGGCCAGGCCAGGGCTGCTTTGTGAGGGAGGATGTTGAGCCAAAGCCGGAAGGTGGGGCAGGTGCACCTGAGGCCGGGGGCGCTGCCTGGCGGAGCGAGGGGATGGGAACTCGAGGTGTGTGCAGGCTCGGGACCTTTCCCATGCCCCGAGCTTCCCTTCCCCAGTGCTCGGATGAGGGGCCTGGTCCTTTGTGGTTTTCTAGTGACCTTATGGTTTTTGTTCTTTATCATTCTGTAAGGCGTGCAAAGGAAATTTGAGCGCAGAGGTCGGATGGGAACAAATCGTGGTCTTTGAACAACAGGCTGACTTCAGCTCAGTCTGGATCCCGTGATGGTGGGAGCCCTTGATGGTGGGAGCCCTTGATGGTTTTGGAGGAGGAGGGGGAGGAGAGTGAGCTGAACCCTGCTGTGTGCGATTGAGGGGGTGCTGTGCAGTGTGCTGGGTGCCACCCCTAGATTCCGACCCCACCCCACTTCCCACCTGCTGGGACTGAGCTTCCCCCTGTACCCCTTATCAAAGGTGGGCCATGGCTTGCAGACCTCAGGAGAAAATGGGATGTCAGTAACCTAATTTCCGTGGGATGGGGATTGTCCGGATCCAGCACAATTGGAGTCTGGAAGTTTACGTGTTTAAAGGGGCCCCGATTCTAGTACCAGGAGCCCTGGAGAACTAAGGACGGGCGGGCTCCGACGCTGCGGGCCGGGCTGCAACTCTGGGCGCCTAATGTGGGCGCCCACAGGCGGTGCCCGAGCCCATACCGACACGCGGAAGCGCACTTTCAGCTGCGTGTGCTTGATAAGTGTATGGGGTGCCCCGGCTTTCAGAGGGTGTGTCATTCCTGCATCCACATCCGCACTAGAGGATGGTGCTTCTCTTGTGGACTCCGTGCGGTTTGGGGCTTGGAAGGGACCCCACACACTCCTCAGTGGAAGCCGCTGACGTTTAGCGGGTGAACTTGGGGCTCAGCCAGAAGCCGGGAGCCACGTCGCCTGTTTTTCCCATTGTGGTTCGTAATTTGGCTCTGCTGCCTTCTTTTGTTCCAATTTCTCCTCTTTGAGGACCTTTCTCCCTGGTGGTGGAGACAGGAGGAGGCCCACCCTTGCAGACTGAGAGTCACAGAGCTAGGTGGTCACTGCAGCTTCCTAGCCCAGCCCGCTCATTGTGACTTGGAGGGGAGAGAGGGCAGGGACCCCACCCCGGGGACCCCCACACAGGCCGCGGCTGGCCTGGGCCCGGCAGCAGCTCTCCCGACTGCCTGCCGGCCTTCCTCCCGCTCTGGGCTTGGGCTAGGGGAGGGGAGACACATCAGCTGCTCTGGGGGGTCTGCTGGTCTGGTGGCACCCAGGATGACACCGAGGCCTCCGCCGCTAACTGGGCATCCGGCTATGCAAGACCGCCCCAGGCCCCCAGATCTCTGGGTGCGGGATTTCAGAGGGCGCCAGAGACGATGAACAGAGGGGATTGCTTCTGAGGAAGACAGACCCTCTTCATATTCACTTGGGTAGCTTCCCGCCTTGGCGATCCAAGAGCGAAGGTGAAGGTGCCTTACGACTAGGAAAGTCACTTGAGGTGATCATTCTCGGGACCAGCCTCCTTTGTCCTTCGTTTCCTTGTAGCTGACACACATGAATAGCTTCTCTTAATTAGATGAAGAAATTAAATTGCAGCAGCTGTTTCTATAGCTGCTGGGGATTGGTCCGGAAGGACAGAGCTTGCGCAAACCTCTGACCGGGCTGTGTGACCCAGGGCAAGTGTCTTCACCTCCTTGGGTGGCTCCAGTGGCTTCAACTGTGAAAGCCAGGTGTTGGCCTAGCTGGTTCCCAAGATCCAAAAAAAGCAGTTGCTGCTTTGAAGGTCTTTTTTTTTTTTTTTTTTTAAGGAGAATCAGCATTGGGGGTTAAGGCGCCAAATGCAACCAGTTTTATGGACTTTGGGAGAAGAACGTCTTCTCCTACAGAGGATGTGTTGGGAGACAGGCTTTGGAGGCGGTGGTTCTTGGTGACGAGGGTCCATCTTCCTCCGTTCCTGGAATCTGACACCTGCCTTGGAACGTGTTTTCTGGGTGGCCTGTAGACTCTGAGAGCCGGGCCTCCTCTGAGGAGCAAGTTTGACAAGCTGGACGTGATGTTAACAGAGGAAAATAAGTTCCCTGGATGGTGGGAAGTAGCGTGTCAGCCAACACTTAGATTTGCCCCAGGAGAGGGAGGAAGCAATGGTTCGTAGTCACTTAGGATGCCCTGTCACCGGGTGCTGCTCATCGGGCCCTCGCCCAGGACCCAGTTCTCATGCAGCCCGTGGGACGGGCGCTGCGACGGTCCCCACATCACTGAGGAGGGAAGGGAAGCAGGGCGTGGCTGGGCTGTCCGAGGCCGTGCACGTGGTGAACACTGAAGCCCGCGTGGGACTCCGAGTCCTCGGCAGAGGATCTGTTCTGTGACCTCGAGGAGGCCACAGCCTGGGGGTGGAAGCCAGCACATCCACAGACCGTCCTAACGACGGGGTTGGTGTGCCCAGGGCAGCTCACGGGGGAGCCCGTGATGCCAGCGACTTGAAGGGTGAGTCCAGGTTCTCCAGGCTACTTTGGAGGCTCAAGGTCAGACTCTGGGTCCCGGGAACAGCCAGTAGGAGCCGGGGGTGGGCTGGGAACTGGGAGCCGGCTGTTGTACAGGGTCTTGTTCTCAGCAGGCTGTCTCAGAACACCGTCCAAACCCAGATTCCGGAGTGGAAAACGGTTGCTTTGGTTTCTGGTGTGTCTTCTAGAAGGTTCTCCCAGTGTGGGGTTTGTCCTTGTATAGTTTTAGAGCCTCCCCCCGGCCCCTCCACCCCCCTGCCCAGTCTGTGTGCTGGAGGAGATTCGGTTCAGAGAAGGTGAGCGGAACCACGGGCAGCACCCCGTGTTTTTACAACGCAGCCACCTCTCCTGTTGCCTTCAGAGTCCCCGAGCAAGGCCAGTGTGACTCCCCGGGGCCTGTGGCTGCTGCTGCCTGCTGTTCAGGACCCCCGAGCTGGGAGTCGGCCCCAGCAAAGCGCAGGCCTCCGCAGCTTCTCCCCAGCTGGCAGGGCTCTGTGGGCAGGACCCCGGGCCCAGACCCGTAGAACAGCGGGGAGCTTCCGCGGTGTCTGTAGTAGGGCTCTCGGTTACATGGGGTTTTGTGTCCGTCCTTGAACACCTCTGACACCTTGAACACCTCTTACACTATTTCCCTGGGACCGTTTTTGGCTGCCAGGGGGTCAGTTTCCAAGCAGTTCTTTGGAACAGGGGGGTGTCTGACTTTGCGGGGGGGCGGTGGGCAGCATTTTAAGGCTCTGTGGAGGGAGGGGGGCTGTGTAGGCTGCATCAACCGTGGAGAGACTCCAGCCTGCGGGCAGTGCGGGGCCCATCTGCT